AAAAAAAAAACATCCTTATAAATGATTTATTTGATAATAAAAAGATACTAGTACTTCAATTGCAACACCAGAACAATAATTCAGCTGCATCCTACATTTTCAAAAAAATGATACTATTCAGCACATACTTTTTTCATGTCTTTTTATCATGTTGTAAAATTTATTCTATTGTTTATCAGGCGAAGAAGTCAACTTGCGTTGAGGTCATTAAAGTACTTGTTATGCTATCAATATACATGTATCCTTGCGGGTTGTAACGTGATGTCTCAATGCACCTCTGCCTCACGGCAATTGTAATTTAAATTGGGTATACTAAATCTCAGTTATAAGCTAAGTGTATACCTCTCAATTCAATAAATTTCTCTTCTTTTCTATCTGATATAAGCTTTTATATCATTAAAGCAAAAAAAAGAACATTAACTTCTCGATTATTTAATCTTTCGACGTAGAACTCTTTTTCTTAATTAGAAAAAAAGTAAAAGCATAGAAATAAACGATTGGAAATTGCAAAGCTATATCATGAACCGATGTGTCCAATTGAAATCCATTACGATTTAACTTATAAACTGAAGGCTTTACAGCCATTCCTTAATATAGTGATTTAAAAAACGATATGGAAAGAGGAAGCATAACGCGTTCGGTTTATACATATCTCCTTTTTTTAAGAAATATCTTGAAGAAGGTATATAACGAAGATTGCCATCGTCCACGAACTTCCAAACAACCCATGATGAAAGGAATAAATCAATATGGGCTCAACTAGGATATATGGATAAGTAGTCCCGATAAAAATATTTTCATTCGCCAAACTTGAATTTATGCACCTTGCTTTATAATCTGATTCATGCGCCAAATTCGAATTAATGCGCGTTGTTGGATAATGAAAAGGAAATTAGAAGATGTTTTCCAGCAGAAGACGGGTTGACAGGTCGAAAGGTGACAGGTAGACAGGTCGACGGGTTGACAAGTCGACTGGTAGATAGGTCGACGGGTTGACTTATTGACGGGTAGACAGGTCGACGGGTTGACAGGTCGACTGGTTGACAGGTCGACGGGTAGACCTGTCGACGGGTTGACAGGTGGACGGGTAGACAGGTCGACGGGTTGACAGGAACTAACCCTAATCTCTCAGGTGGGTTCTGGAACTAACCCTAATCTCTCAGGTGGATTCGAGAACTAACCCTAATCTCTCAGGTGGATTCGAGAACTAACCTTAATCTCTCAAGTGGGTTTGAAACTAACCCTAATCTCTCAAGTGGGTTTGAAACTAACCCTTATCTCTCAGAGGGTTCAAGTACTAAATCTAATCTCTTAGCCGGGTTTGAATACTAACCCTTATCTCTCAAGTGGATTTGAAAACTAACCCTAATATCTCAGATGGGTTTGAAAATTCATAAGAGGTGTCAACTGTCGACCTGTCCACCTTTGTGATAACATTGTAGGTTAACCAATAAGAGGTGTCAATTGTCGACCTGTCGACCTTTGTGGTGACACTGTTGATTAGTAAGAGGTGTCAACTGTCGACCTGTCGACCTTTGTGGTGACACTGTTGATTAGTAAGAGGTGTCAACTGTCGACCCTTTTGATGTCAATGTAGGTTAACCAATAAGAGGTGTCAACTGTCACCCTGTCGACCTTTGTGGTGACACTTTTCATTAGTCAGAGGTGTCAACTGTCGACCTGTCGACCCTTTTGATGTCAATGTAGGTTTAATGTGGTATTGTCAAACATTTTTTGTAAAGAGGACTTTTTATGGACTATTTTTAAAAGGATTTATTCGGAGTAATAAGGCAAAATATTTCAACTATCTACTATAAAAGGAACTATTTCTTATCAAATTTTAAATTTGAAAGATGTTAATCGGTTTTATGGAACTACTTATCCGTATACCCTAGTTGAAATTTAATATGAACGGTGTAGAATTTTCGATATAATATTAATGTGCATACATTTAGTTCGAAAGTAAAGCTCTTAAAATTGCATTTTCTACTTTTTTGTGGCCTTAAGGTCAGACGACACGTTCCCCTCCAAAAAATATATATTTTAAAAGAATTTGTCGTGGAGGTATAGGTACTTAAACAAGTTTTCTCGCAAAAAATTAGGGTAGCTTGCCAGGTTTTTGGCCAAGATACCATTGAGTCATATTTCTTACATAACTCTTATGGGTAATCTTCTAAATGGCCTATAACACAATTTTTGGTGTACTTATATTTAAAAACATTTTGAAAAAAATGTAGAAGTTAGAAGAGAATGACAAATATGAAAAAAAATATATAATAACATGAGATATAAAACATATATTTGAGGAACGTGTCGTCTGACCTTAAGAGCAATGCAAAGCTTGAGGATAATCATAATTTGAGTCTTTCAGTCCGTCTGTCTGACATACTACATGTAGTAATCGATATCTTGTAAGCTGTTAAAGATATCGTGGGTTTCATATTTTGGTCATATATTTCTTCACACTTTTGTTTTCGTAAAATTCCATAGTTACCAACTTTGAGATTTTTTTTTCTCTTGACCTTTGAACTTTTGTAATAGAGTTCTTTGTGAGATATTTATCATAATCATGATATTTAAGAGTTAAATATTTAATCATGATAGTATGGAATAACATTACAACCGTCGTCACCTACCTTTATGAGTATACTCCCAAGAGTTGTTGTGACTTGTGTTCTTTTTTTTTTATTTTTGAGGCATTGTTTTTAATATAAGTACACTATTATGATAATGATCACAAAATATGGGCTTTAAAATTCTTTGCTTTTCATTATCACATAACCCGAAATTTAAATACAAGGAAAAGCATCGAGATATTATTAATTGTATATCAGAATTTATATACAAAGACTATCCTTTCGGTCATAACATAAATGAATTTTTTTTCTTTGCTTTTATAGATCATGATATTCCTAGAAGGATAAAAAGAAAATAAAATGACCATTAATTTATTGTAATTTGTGCAGGCGACACAAGTGTTCTAGGGAACACTCTTGTTGAAGTACATGTAGGCATAAAATATGACGAAAATGAACATGTATTACAATCAAAGAAGTACATTTCTGCGATAAAAAAAATTAGATTTGAACAAAACACAGACGTCTAAAAACATCAAAAGGGTTCAGGTGCTACGAGGGAGAAAGATCCCCCTGTCGATATGTCAAACTCGTTTTATACTCCTCGTCAAGGTCGAGCAAACGCAAAAAAAAATTCCACTCGAATATATCCATGATCATTTATTCAATATCAATCAATATCATTTTTGCTTTTTCAAAGCAAAAATATGAAAAAAAAATATATTTAAAGAAAATTGAAAAGACATAGAACAAATTTATATCAGGCTTTGTCAATCTGATTTAAAAAAACACAACTAACTATAGTATTGGATTTTCCTTTATGTGGCAAATTATAAGAAGGTACAGTTTCAATACAAATATTGCCCTTTGATTTAGTTAAAAATGAATCAGATGTAAAAAAAAAAAATAACTTTTGTACTTTGAAATTGGAATTCCATGCAAAAAAATTATACCAATCATTTTTCTCACATGCATTTCTAAATGCTAATTGTGACGTCATAAACATGTGCATTTTCCCGTATTTTCTGAAAATGTTGCATAAGACAAAAATTTTCAATGGAATTTTCTTTCAGAAAACATTGTCCACAGGCATCGCCAACAAAGATTTTTTAGATATCTGATTTTTCATTGTATTTTACACAACATATCCAAAAATTAAAGTGGGCGACGGCTGTGAACACTATTTTCTAAAGGAAAATTCCCCTTAAAATGGGTCATTTGAAGCTTTCTGTTTGAAATAGACGATTACATCAAATAAATGACGTCATATTTCCAGAATGGTACTCCTTCATGCCAAATTCTTTCCTATCTTTCATAAACTCAGTTTTAGAACTTTTTGAAAACATTAAATTTTTAGGGCACAATAAAGCTAAAACCATACCTTCTTCTTTCCCAAACCCTATTTTTTCTTAACGTCAGAGCTGTATACTGCCGTTTTGTTTATTTCTAATTAGTTTAGATTCTATGTATCTATGATCATAATCGTGTTATAAATATTACATGATTTTTACTCGTCAGAACGTTCAAAGTCCTATTTATTTGAACATTTTACATTGTACCTCTAAAACGTATAAGTACGATAAGTGTTCCTTAAATTCTAACAATAATTTAAGTTTTTTAAATCATGACATAAAATGTCTTCGACTGGAAGTAATATGGTAATCTTTATGCTTCGTAAACGACGATATGGTGATATAGTTTCTGCACTCAGAATCATCAAAACCAGAAAATGTTATGTAAAAATAGGTTACATAAGTTCTGTGGAGCTTTGGTCGCCCTGCCCGTCCGTCTTTCTCTCAATCTATTTGTCTGCAAAAACTTAAAGCCTCCATATCATTTTAGAGTGGGTTGGGCAATCAATTTCACATTTCACATGTATATTCCTTGTGACAAAACCGACCTTGCTTTGGGTACCACCAAATTTGACCTCTTGACCTAGGAGTCTGACCTATTTAACCCACAATAATAACAATTTAACCTTGGTCATAACTTGAGCAGTTTGTGTCAGGACTTTTATACTTCACATATATGCATTTATTGTGACACGACTTTTCAGTTGGTATCAATTATTTAGACCTTTTGGCCATGACCATAGAGTTTGACCCACTTTTAATAATTTTGATTTTAACCATAACTTTTGAACAGTAAACACTATGGCTTTCAAATTTTACAGTTGTCTTCTTTATGCAAAGACCTTACTTTGCTTACCAACAATTTTTACCTTTTGACCTTGAGCTTTGTTTCATAATGCATTTGAGAAACTTCAGCCCATCTTGCATGTATAAGCTGCCATGCGGGGGCATCAGTGATTCACAAAATACATTTATAAACAACGATAAGAAATAAAAATTTACAGCTAAATAAATAAAAAAGCTTAATAAAAATAAATTATTATGTTTATGGTAAATGAAACAAATCTGACAAATAAAACAAAAATACATGAAGAATAAATTAAATTATAAGACAAGAAGTAACATCAAGATTCTGTCTCCTGGATTAATCTAAATAACTCCTCTTTAACTTCTTCCGCAAAACCTCCGACAATATTTAATTTGAATTCACTACTGCTGAGAAGAGACCATCTGCTTTCGTGCAATTTGCCAACGTCAGTTTCACTTGATTTTGAAATAGAGTTATCTCTCTTTAATGTCCGCCTAAAATCCGAATCCGATTTTCTAGAGCACCTGCTACCCGAGTCCGAATCGGACTCTTTTACGGAGCTGATAGAATTACTATCCACTTCCTTGATGTGATTTTGAGATTCACTACTATTATTGTTGGATTCACTCTTAAAAATGGTAGCATTGCCACTGCATACAACGTCTACCTTGCTAAGAATATCAATCTGGGTCATGCTTTGACTATTTACACTCCTTTTTACATTTGTAAATCCATTTTCGTTCATAATTTGGTTTTTATCTGCATTTCCATTGGCATCAGTCTTGCGTAGAATGCCGATCCCGACGTTTACGCCTTTGCTTCTGGAATCGGCCTCGGAAACCTCTACCAATGGCAAATCGAACACGTTTTCAGCTGATATTTCACAGTAAGGCATTTTACATTTTTGTAAGTCGTTCTCACTGGAACTTAATCTAAATTTGACAGAGTGAGTAACTTTTAAGTTTGATGGATCAGAACCGGAAGCAGACTGCTGTATGACGTCACTCTTCTTAGTAAGGTTGGTTTCCGATCTCGGTTTTTCTCGGACTTCCGTGATCAAAGTCAGTTTTTGATAGGAATTGTTATTAAGATTTCCCATACAGATGTTACTATCTGAGGAAGACGATTGATCTCCCCTTGTCTGTGAACAAAATAAATTGAAAAACTGAGAAATAAAATAAAATAAAATAAACATGTGCAAATTAAAAAATTCCCAAAAATATAAAAAATAACTGAAAATTATTATAAAACCAGAACCAGACCAAATACAATTATTAAGAAACCAAAACACAGATAAGAAAATAAAATCAAAGTACTGAAAGTACTGAAAAGCGGTTAGCATGCTTTCATCGAATATGTACAGTGTACAATAACAAAAAATGCATTGAATCATGATATTAAAGTAGGCATGCATATCTTTTTCCAGTGTCATCAGCGAAGAAGCAGACACACTGAATTTTGTAGTACTTAACTAAATGGTATAACCAATAACCTCCCAGACTGATGTCACAAATTTTTGTTTCAAAATATCAATGAGATTTTCAGTTTGAAAGACAAGAAGTTCAATTTCAAAAATTTCCCCCTAATTGTCTCCATTGGTGGCGTCCAAAAGTGCTCAGAACGAAAAAAAAAATTATGTTGATGTTGCAAATTTAATTGGCTTTCATGCTCTATTGATTCTGAAATTAGGTAACTGTAAAGACTACTATAGCAAACAACTCAAAAAGAAAATAAAATGATAATTCAAATTCTTTAGATTAATTGATTTGGAGTACTGTACATATATCTTTTTAACTGGCTAGTCTGAGAAAAACGGATGGACGAGCAGAGAATTAATTAATTTCAGAGAGCTTCAGTTTCGTAGGCTCACTGCGGGTCAGCAGGTGTGACCTGTCATTGGGGATGCTTACTTCTCCTAGGCACCGGAACTTTCAAGGATCCGTTTTTCTTTTGAACCGATCACTGTTCATTTGTATTTTGATACAGATACTGAGTACATCTGTTTATTAATATTATGAACTATTTCTCTCACAGGAAGAAAGACAAGTAAACAAGATAATAAAGTTTTAAGAAATGTACATTATTGACTTTTCATACAATTAAATGTTCGAATAAGTAAATGGTATATGACAATTATTTAAAAAAGAGTCTTGCACGATATGTATAAACGAACATATACTGAGTATTTGGCAAATATTTTTCATGAAATATTGTAAAAAAAAAAAAAAAAAAAAAAAAAAAAAATGTGAAAAGGAAAGTTGTTGTTTAATCCATCAAAACTAGTATTTTAAAAATTCAAAGGTTCACTAGAAGTCAGTGTATAACGAACAATTTAATTGTCCATTGCAAGAATTACCTAGGTATCATTGTCACTTTCTTCAATATGCAATACATTGGTTTTTTTTTTAAGTAAAAACAAATATGCGACCTTCTATCAATATGTCTGTAAGCATCTGTATTTTAATTTTTATTTTTTCTCAAAGGCTCAAAATGATAATTAACGAATTGGACAAATTCAAATTTAAAGAGTATTTTTACAACTTATACCTTGCATAGGAATTTAGCAAACTTTCAAAAATAATCATTCATTAGATATAATTTTCAATTTGTGCTTATCCAAGATTTTTCATGCCTCTTTTTTCTGTGCATATTTTATATCGGCTGATTTTTAGAAAAGGATCGTATGCCGATTAAATTTTTTTCTCCAATTTTTTAAAATTAATTTTAGTATTTTCAGGCTCCCATAATTTTTTTTTTTTTAAATAAAAATGTGATCGTTTAAAATCGTTTGTAATAATTAGACTGAGTACAGAATTTTTTCCTTGGAAACAAAGCTTTTATCATCTTTTAAATAATTTCAATTGAGAAAAAAAGAAGAAGAAAACAAACGTTTCATTATGGAAGTAATCCATAACTGTACAACTTACAGATGTATTCAGTATATTTATATAAAGGCTTTCTTCTTGTACTAGTATTACTTAAGTTAATTAAAGGGATGCCTAAATATTTTGGAAAATGAAACTCGATCGAGAGATTCTCCGATGTTTTGCAGTCGGTAATAACCTTCAACCCCATTTAGCCAGTAATTAACCCGTCCTCCCTGTGCCCAGTAGCATAATTCGGTCAAATATTTATTGTTCATGAGGGGTGCCTTATAATTAATCACAGCACCTGAATTTTTATCAGCAAGTCTCTAAATTAGCCAAATATCGAAACATTCTACCCCCTCTATATATAAATACACAAGGTGTCCAACGCCATTTCGACCACCTGTTCGATTCAGGCTTCAATTTAACACATAAATCGGAAATGCCTACTTGTTTTCGTGTAACATTAGGTTCAAATATGATATTTCTCGCTATACATTTCTTCCTAAAGTTTAAATCTAACGCGTTGATAATGTTATCAGCTAAACTTCATGCTGACTTCGAATTTCGTCACAGGGCCCGATCGCCATCAGCTGATGTCACGGAAATTTAATCTAGACACCAAATGCTCCTTTACATAAACTTTATTTAATACAACAATTATAAATTTATTTCATTGACAAACAAAATCAGAAAAAAATAAAAAAAAAAACCGAAAGATTATGTTGTTTTGATAGTCTTGATTTTATTTAACATATGTTATATGTGTTAGAAACAAATCATAGGTACTAGGTAGAGGCTTTGTTGAAGTTTCCCAAAAATAGGTAGCGCCTTATGGAAGTTTCCGGTGTCGACCAAATACAATTATTAAGAAACCGATAAAAATGGGACACATGCCATAAAGCGGTTAGCGAAGCTAACCGCTTAAAAATACACAAAATCAAATAAAGAATCAAATAAACAAACGAAACAACAATGAATAATGAAACCATGTCAATGAACCCTGAATGGATTTGTACGATTGACCATAAAGCGTTGTTTGAACATTGGTGTATAGGAAAGCAATCGTGTTTCTTACATCAATTTGGCAAGAGTCGCGAAGTATCGTGTTGATCCTTACGTCGCGGGTTCGAATTCCACCCCGAGATGCGTTCTCATTCGAATGAGACCGTATAAATTGAGGTCTTGTGTCGCAGTATAGCTGCTGACATGAAAAAAGATTCCTCACTACTCAATAGCCCTAGATGCCGAGTATGGGACACATTTTGCAGCTCTCCACCGGCAAGTGGTGGCGTCTCTATATGAGTAAAAAATTTTGGAGACAGACATTAATCAAGATCCAATCAATCAATGTACATGTATCAGGTTGGTAGGTTCGAGGGACGTAAATATTTGCGTATATACACTGGTAATAATAATCCTTTAACATTGTAAGTCCTCTATCACTCCTCTAGCAAGGGAAGTTTATAGTTTTTTCTCATTCAGTTTTTGCCTGGCAGCCTACCCTATGCCAATCTGTCTCATTTGGATTTCCACAGTTCTCCTTATAAGGGAACAGATAATGGGGGGGTTGGTTTGGACCTCGGTGAGTTTCACAAAAATTCTGTTTTTTTTTGTTCCACTTCAATTACAGTTTATTTTTGTAAGAATGACAATCATATTTAAAAGGAACCAGAAGCTGGTAGGGAAGTGTACTCTTAAAATGCTTGGTATTCTATCAAAAGTAAATATATACTGCGGCTCTAATAACGTTCTGAATAGATAACATCTATGTCAGGATTTATAATTATTTATACAAAGTCTTCAGTATTTAATTTTAAAAAACATAAAACTCAATGTTATCACTTCAATTCGATTTATTTTTCTAGAAAATGAAAGTGAATATTAAATAGCTTTTCTTAAAGCTGTAGCTACATGTAATTGTTAGCTATTTGCATCAGCGCAAGCATAATGTTAATCTAGATATTTTATTTATTTCCTTACCAATGAACTCAAAGACATATCTAGCTGTAATAAGAATTCATTTATAAGCTTAAGATTTAATGTAATTATGTCGCTTTTATTGTATAATGAATTTTTTTTAAGATAACTTGAAATCAAAATAACTCTATATGTCTGTTATGCTCAATTATGTTTTACGTTATAACAAGGTAACAGAATTAAATAAAAATGTAATAAAAATGCATATTCCTTTCACTTGTGTCTAGTTTTTATTGTGGAAAAAAATGGTATATGAAAAAATAAATGTACAAACGTCTCCAATTGCAGAAAAAGTAGCTTACTATAAATGTTACTGATATTAACAGAAACTGTCAAAAACATATCAAAGTTTTAATGTTTCCATTCTACAGTGCTAAGATGTAAAGAAGCAGCAGCCTGTGACTTTAAGGAGTCATTACAAACTTTTTTATTCAAAATGTTGAATGGGACGAAAATTATGTTAGACCTTTATTCTTCCAATTTATCTTAAGGTTAATATACTCAAGGGGGTTAATTCAAAGTCTTACATGTAACTTCAAAGGAGAACTACATGGTACAGTCTAGCAGCTATCCTAGTATATTTAAAAAATTACCTGTTGAGATGGAGTAGGGGTTTAATGCGTTTTAGTATATCATATATCATCTTAAAAAACTATTTTAAATAAAGAAATAAAGTAACTGGTCTATTGAGCATCAACAGTTACTAATCTCACATGCTACAATTTTGTACTAACCGAAACACTAGAGTTAACTAGTAAACTAAAGTTTACTATTATTAATAGTTATCTGTAGGAGGACCAGAGTAAAAAAGTAGAACTTTTATTTACTATGGTGAAAATTTGATTTACTATTATAATGAAGATTTGAAGCTTTAAGTCGTTATAACATAAAGAATTTTGATTGACCATAGGAAAAACTTCAGAACTTTGATTTATTACAATTCCCTGTAATTCTTGGATTGTCAGCAAGGTGTGGTATTATCGGCGATACGTAATAAGCGTCTGTCACATGGCGAATAGATTCTCATTAGTTAAAATATTAATATCAGTAGCAACTTTAAATTGTTGTTGCCAGCGATTATTGCTAACCTTGTTTTTATTCGTCCGAGTTTCTATCCCATGTATATATCATCAGTGAATAAAAGTCTGTGCAATTATCTGACTCTGGTTAGGTAACGTCAAGAATACAATGCTTTTCTCAAAGTCCAAGAATAACAGAGAATTGTACTACTATAGTTAATCATATTCAACTATACATAAGTATTGAAAATGATGAAGTTTGATATCGGTTTTCTCTGATTCTAAACAATCTTACCTCCGTTTGAGAGAGAATACATGATGATGTTCTGGAGTAGCGCCGACTACTGTTTTTCAGTATCCGCTGAATCTTCATTCTTCTGTATTTCTGCTTTATTACTCTTCTCACCTGTCAAGGTATTGTAAAGGAATTCATAAAAAGGCTTTTCCTTAAAAAAAATATGTTTCACAAAATATCATGTCTTACGAGGAGATGATGTTTGTGTTATATTGACTTACCTCTCCATTTAAGAAACAATAAAAAATAGAAATTAAGATTCCCTGAAACGAAAAAAAAAATTGTTAAAAAATCAATAATTATTATATTTTGAAAAAGATCTAAAGAGGGAAAATATAACAATTGCTTTCCATTTATATTTAATAATGTAAACGGTAAAAGTATAAGATAAAAAGTTCCAGACCTGGTTGGAATGAAGCACAACATTTGTGACTTGATACACGGAGGCGTAGGATCCTCCATCATTTGGATTAAATAACATTATAAGATTGGTCAGTCCCAGCAACGGCATTAGAATTACAGTAGCTCGTATGGCCTTCCTACAAAATCAAACAATAAATAAATCAATAAAAAATTGAAGGATAAAATCAATTTGAAGAATTCTGAGTAGACGTTTTCTTGTGTCAAATGTACTGCAATACATGTATTGGTAATATTTTCCCAATATTCATGTAATATACTTCATAGATTTCACACACACAATACAAATCAAAAACATTGGAGAGAGGTTTACATACCTCTAATTATCTCTTTCATGTTAAAATGTGTTCATTTATTCATATTGTTCATTCATTTCTTCAATATATATACTCATTTATTTACTAACCTCACTCACTTCATTTGTACATTACATAATAATGTAATATACAGATTTATTTGTACTCACTTTACACTTTCAAATGACTTTCTCATTATACTCATCCAAACATTATACTCACTTAATTCTTGATGATTCATGAGTATTATGAGCTCTTAACTTCGTCACCAACACTCTTATAATGTTGACTAAAAAGAACAAATTTACCTGAAATAAAAAAAAAACAAACATTTTCAGAAAAACTTCAGTACAAAAATGTTTTTCTGTTTGCTTGATTGATTAATTTTTGACGCCGAATCGGCAATATTGCAGATATATATCGGCGAAACCTGGTTAATGTATGAAATCTGAACTCTGTCTAGGAACCACTGTTCACAGCAATTCTTACTGTTCAACTAAAGGATATTTGCCTAAAACAATCAGGTTAGTTAACAAGCTGATAGGAGATATAACTCTAACCTCTTGATTAGAGGAACAACTATCACTTGGAAAATGATTATTTTTTTCCTTTTAACAGTCTCGAGATAAACGGCTAATTTCTCGAACTTACCCCATCAGGCATTTTTAAATGTGACCTTTATCAATTCTTTTGCGAAATAATTTGCATTTATTTCTTTTTAGCGTGAAAAGAGGATTATTGTATTACAAAATACTTCTTACAATTAAAGCTAGCAGTATTGACCCCGACACAATGTAAGAGTAGGGGGAATCAGAGTTGTTCTGCCAACATGGCGTGAAGACTGTAAAATGCATGGCGATCGCCCAGGATATAGCTATCACTCCCGGCAGACCTAAAAATATAAAAGGGTATTTTAATCAGTAACCTCGTTTTATAACAGGTTAAATGAAACATATTGAGATAACCAACAGTATTCAAGATCAAAATTCCATAAAACAATACAGAACAGGAGCAGAGCAAACACGGACCTCCAAAACATTAGAGGTTGGATCAGGTTCCATAGATGAGTGAGCATCCATTTAATTTTTGCATGGTATCTATTTTCTTTCCTTCGGTATCTTTCATTTTGTTTGATATTTATTGTTTGATAGGTAATATTTTTTGTTTGTTTGATTTTTGACAACTTGAAAATAAAATTATTATGATACAGACAAATAAAAAGGTACTCGTTGCTCGGTCTTTATCGTATGTATTTGAGAAATTAATTTATCAGAAAACAACAAACATGTACAATCTTTGATACATGTAATACATACCCCATCCTATGGCACAAAAGATTTTAAAAGGAGCATCCGTGGAGAATACGGTGACAACAATACTATTGTGTAGAAACAGGCCTTCCACGAACATCCAGAAAATGTTACTGACCATTGTGTATTGTCCTAGCACTATTATAATCTTACAGACCCAGTCCTGTAGGGAAAAAAAGATATAATCAAACTTCTTAAAGTACTGAAAGCCGGACTTCACGGTTACAAAGTACTGTCCCTGAACTACTATATTCTGACATGCCCAGAGCTTTAGAGCAAGAAAAAAAATAAAAAATGTCAAAATAAGACGCACTGAATGAATAACTTCACAGAAACACAACAATATTATAATCTTACACACCAGTCCTCTAGGGGCAAAAAAGGTACTTCAAAAAATGTCAAAAATCGGTGAATGTTTAAATCGCAGCAATTTTATAATCTTACACTCCATGTCTTGTAGGGAAAATAAACATAATAAGTATCCTAAAAAAGGAATGTAAAATAAAAAGCAAAACTACCGCGGAAAAATCGCTAGGTCTAAGACGCTCTTTCATCTTGTCCAATACGCCTGTATCAAGGCTTATACACTGCTATGTATTAGATATAGAGTTGGAAAGTAATTACAATTCCTGGTGTAGTACCTATCATGATAAAATACCTTTTCTAATCTTAGTAAATATGTTTGGACTTAATACTCCGGAATAATAAACATCTAAATACGAAAAGTAATCTAAAACAAGTAGTATTGGATAAGTATTATCACAGTGACTCTGGTATGATAGACATCATGACAAGACACTTATAGTTAGTATACAGTAGGCTTTGTAAACCAATGTTGGACTGGATTTACGTCCCTTGTTTTATAAAAATTATGAAAAAAACACTCATGTTAGCTTTGTAAACCAATTTTGGTCCGGACTTACATTCCTAATTTAATAAACATCATGACCAAAAACTAACTTTAGCTTTATAAACATTTAGAGACATGACTTTAATAAACATCATGACCAAACACTAATGTTAACTGTATAAACACAGACAGACATGACTTACCACGCGGGTATAGTAGACATCATGACCAAACACTAAAGGTTCGAACAAAATAACGATGACGACAAAGCGAAGGATGAAGGAGACGACTAGATGTTTATGTATAGACACTCGGCTGCACTGAAGAGACCTATATAGACAAAAAATCGATTTTTATACAATTTGTTGACAATACTTTAATTTTAGGTCTAGAATACATGAAGAGGGTATGGATACTGAATAAATATGTGCAACTTACCTGAATTATTTTAAATTGAAGGACAGATGGTACAAACTCTCATCGATTTTTTTTTAATTTAAAATTCATTAAATCTTCTTTTTTTCAAAGGTATATAAGCACATATAAAAAGTTTATATCAACATTTTTTATTTCATTCCTGCATTCAATAGTCACACTTTTACTACAGGCATACAATTTTTGTATTTCTTCTTATGTAACCCCTAGTCAAAACTCAGAAATCCGTTCATACTCACCGGAAATAACAGAATACGAAGAGAGTAATGCAAAGGAAGAACAAGGAAACTAAACTACATCCGAAATAAATATCCCTCATAATCAGAACAGCTCTGGAATGTTCCGCTACCTACAAAAGAATAAAACATCATATTAACTTCATCCAAATAAATATTCTTCATAATCAGAACAGCTCGGGAATGTTCCGCTACCTACAAAAGAATAAAACATCATATCAACTTCATCCGAAGTAAATATTCCTCGTAATCAGAACAGCTCGGGAATGTTCCGCTACCTACAAAAGAATAAAACGTAATAAAACGTCATATTAACAAAGTCCGTCGGACGGGACGTTAAATGGTGCCCCGTGTCAAGGATGACAACCCCCTTGGCACGCAAAAGATCGTTTCTCTGGAGTTCGAAAAAGAGTAGGCTCACAACAAAAACTTTACCGATCAATTAACCTAATAGGAATAGTCCGCCGAAATATGGCTGAGAGATTGCCGCCTCGGCGTTAAACAATATACAATCAATCAATCAATCAATCATATTAACTTTATCCAAAAAAAGTATCCCACATATTTAGAACAGCTCGGGAATGTTCCGCTATCTACAGAAATAAAAAATCATATTTAGTACATCCAAAATAAATATTCTTCATAATCAGAAGAGCTCGGGAATGTTCCGCTACCTACAGGGTAAAAAATCATATTAAGAACATTCTAAATAAATATTCCACGTAAAAAAAACACCTACATCATATTTACATGAAATAAATATTTCTCGTAATCAGAGCAGCTCGGGAATGTTCCGCTACCTACCAAAGAATAAAACGTCATATTAACTTTATCCAAAAAAGTATCCCACATATTTAGAACAGCTCGGAAATGTTCCGCTACCTACCGGAATAAAAAGGTTTTTATATAATTTGTTGACAAAACTTATTTGTAATCTAAAATACATAAATAAGCATGGGTACTAAAGAAATATGAATTATTATGTTATATCATCATATTAACAACATCCAAAATAAATATCCCCCATAATCAGAACAACTCGGGAATGTTAACGTTCCGCTAACCAGAGGAATAAAACACCATATTAACCTTATCCAAAATAAGTATACCTCATATTTAGAACAGCGCAGAAGTGTTCCGCATAAGGGAGGAACCCAAAAATTATAATATTAACTAAATTCGAAATAAGCCCCTCATAATCAAAACAGCTCAGGAATGTTCAACAACCTAGAGTAATAAAACTTCATATTTTGTAATCTTTTATAATTTCAATTATAGCCAAGATTACCTGGGAAGTTGAAAATTATTTCATTATTTTTGTACTTCATTAAAGATTATATAATTAGCTCTGAACTTGTTTAAGTATCTTTAAGACCATATTATAAGTACATTAGTAAAACATATCTATAATTTTTCCGGGATCAGAAGTGTTGTCTTACAGCTCGTAATTTAAAAAAGGAATATGTTAACATGAAATTACACAATCTTTCAGAAGGTACTATAAGAAACAAGATTCTTTCAAAAGTCTTTTTATTTCATTTAAGCAATACTAATCAGAAGAACAACACGGACCTCTAAAGCGTCAGAGGTGGGATCAGGTGCCGTGGAGAACTGAGCATTCCCTGCCGACACACCCGCTGTGTGTACCTTGTCATGATCAGGAAATAACAAGTAATTCGGCGAAAATTTCGGGGATTAGAAAATATTAATAAGTTTGTATTACAAAAGGAAAATGTAGTCTGATACCTGAGGAATGTGTCATTACATCGTGATCGGCAGGGAAATACGACTTAAATTTCAGGAATCAATAAAAGTCATAAGTTTTTAATACAAAAAATCATGGCTGTTGAAATAATGCTAATACTTGAATAATGTTTCATCAGAACTTGAGGTTCTGAGCAGTTGAATACAGTATTTGAAAGAATTCTCATGAATTTCAAGTGACAATTTTCATTTATTTTTATTGAAAATAAACAATGCTAAACAGTGATATGTTTAGTAAATAGGGATAATAGTGAATACAAACAAATGTAATTTTTTTGAAATCTCATATTTTGACACCCCAGTCTAAATTATTTTTTTTCTTTCTAACTTAACAGACCGGTTAGGGTAGCCTAGTGGTAGAGCGTTCGCTTCGTGATCGGGAAGCCCAGGTTCGATTCTCGTTCTCGGCGCCCCTTCAACCCTAAGAAGTAAACATAAGCAGTGACTGTTCGCTCGGAACTATGAGTGAAAGTCATGGGTCTTTCGGATATGACCTTACAAACGTAGGTCCCATGTCACGGTAGGCGTTGGCACGATGAAAAATCTCTCACTGCTCAATGTCCATGCATGAAGAGTATAGGTCTAAATTTGAAACTCTAGATCTTTACCAGCATACGCTGACGTCTCAATATGAGTGAAAAATTCTCGAATGAGACATTAAATAATGTACAATTAATCAATCAATCTAACTTCACAGAGAGATATCATCCAGTGACATCTTTAGTGAAAAATTCTCAAATGGGACGTCAATTAAAAGTATAAAATCAAACATATATTTCTGTTTGCATATCAATAAAGTCGGGAAGAGAACACTGTTATTATAAATTACCAGGAAAATTATATTCCAGTTATCATTGGTTCCTCATGACTCCTCAACCCAAGAATTCAAATAAATAATAGTCATGTATTTTTTTTCACTTATTTTTGCTTGACCCAACACATTGGATTGAATAAAAGTATAAACTACTTTTTTGTATTCAAATGATAGCTTACAGTGGGAGTTAAGCTAGTCACATCTTGTGGTGGAAGCAATTTGTCTAGGAAGTCGATACACTGTTGGTAATCTGTAATATTCTTCCAGCGTCCATCTGACCCACAATGTCGGTATGCCAGGACATGATCTGAAAAAAATTACACACCATTACTTTTCAGCAGAAAGAAATAAAGGTCATCTTTTTATTGAAATATAGAGATGACAAACAGTATTTAAGTTAAAAAGGCAATTAAAAATTATCAATTTGAAGCAGAGTCAACATGGCCCCCTTAAAACAATTAGAGATTTTATGAGGTGCCATGGAGGACAAAGAATCCCCTATCGACCGGATACACACATTGTTTGCTCTAAATCATGATTGGGATAGTATTTAGATTGTTTAGATTTTTAAAATTGTCTTAGTAAAATGTCTTCATCTTTCAAATATTTCAAAGATACCCAAATATTTCATCTTTGCCTTTGTTTATTATTATTAAGATTCATTTATCATCACTACGACAAGAAGTACCAATTTTAGAATATTAGCTAGTAAGTAACGCTTATTAAGATATTTTATTTCCTTACCTGGTGCACCAATGGCAGCTGGACAAGGGGCAGTAACTGTGGTGTTACTTTTTGTCGCGTACCAACAATGGAATGAGTCGTGATGAGGCTCACAGTAAGTTTCATCTAAAAGTAAATATAAAAAATTTGACTTCTACTAATATCATTGTATCTGAGTTTATAAAAGAGTTAATCGAATACATTTTTTTTTAAAAATTATCTTTTAAATGATATAAGCCGTTAGATAAGAGAGAAGTACATTTTGTGAATATGAGATATGAGGCTCGATATAAGACTGATATATGGTACTAGAGGTTTTTTTTATATTATTCCAACGATTTTATTCCAGATGGGAAAAAAAATACAATTGATGTTTAACAGGTAGGACGTTTGCATTAACCTACTTATATTTTATCCTTTTTTGTCACAATATAGCAATCTCCTAACAAAAACTTAATTACTATAGTCAGCTATTTGTTCACTAGAGTTAATTGATAAATATTTCAATCGACTCTAAAAGTTACTCGAGAACGTTTTTGAAGATCAAAAATTTTAATATTTCTTTAGCAACAATTTGATAATGGGGTGTGTTGTTTAACTTCCCTTTCGAGAATTTTCACTCATATGGAAAAATTTGTAAACATGCAAAAAAAAAAAATTCAGTGTCAGGAAATTACCTCAAGGAATTTAAGTAATAGGCTCACCTTAGCACTTCGTTTAGGAAAAAGCAAAAATCTGTTCAGTATTGAATTTTAAATAAAAATCGTTGCTTGCTCGTGGTGGATATGAACAAACTTAAATCAACACTTCTTAAGAATCCTTTTGAATTAATATGACATAAAATGGCTGTTTGCTGTTTATAAGATTTTATTGATATATTCTTTATATTTCTTTATTTCATCATGATCCATTATAATGGTTCCTCTATTCTCTTGGTTGGTCATGATTTGAACAAATGTAAATCTTCATAAGCTTTTGAATGATTTTAGATATTTATAACCAATAATGGATCTAATGTTCTTGTGAAAAATTTTAATGATCTTTACTACATGTATCACGGACCCGTTATAGCTCGTATCTACCTCTGGGGCTAATGGTTTTAACAAAGTTGAATCTACACTTCCTGTTAATACTTCCATATAAAGGTGACTTATCTCAGCTTTGCTGTTTTCAAGAAGATTTTTATGCATTTTTCCTAACTTATGTACATGTATTTCTAGGTAAAATGTTATTACACTTTGAAACTCCACATTCTACCCCTTCTCTACCCCGTAGGTTAGGATATAACAACTAGAATCTATACTACTTGAAAATGATTTAAACTTAATTTAACACTACCTAAGGATGCTTTCATATAATATAGCTATAACTAATCATGGCTCTCCTGCTCTTAAGAAAGAAGGATATGGAGATAACGAACAGTATTCAGTCTCAAAGTCCATAAAACAATACAAAATAAGAGCAGAGCAAACATGGACCACAGAAACATCAGAGGTGGGATCAAGTGCCATGGAGGAGTGAGCATTTTATTTAAAGATTTTTTTAAGGTTTTACCTATGTATTCCTATTTTTAACTTTGATCAACCACTTTTGCCCAGCCAATTCCCCAAGGGGCATGATACGAACAACTGAAATCTACACTACCTAAGGATGCTTTCTAAATTTTTGACCTATCACTAATTTATTGTTTTACAAGAAGTTTTTTTTGTAAATTTCTATGTATTTCTATGTGAAACAGTGATACCTCATTCTAACGCAACCCTGTGCCGTAGTGCAAACTAAAAATTTAAAATCACACTGTCTAGTAGAATATTCTTGCGCAGGAATTTCATTTTTCGTGGCCGAGAGGTTCTTCAAGAGGAATTTCTTATAAGATATCATTATAATTTCACTAATTCATAAATATTTCCCCTTAGAATAAATTGTTTCCCCTTCATTTGAACAAACTTGAAACCCCTTCACGCAAGGATACTTTGTGTTTGGTTGAAAATGTCCCAGTGGTTCTTAAGAACAAGATGAAAATGTTAAAAATTTACGAAAATAACGACTATGACAATGACGACGACAGACAACCGGAAAATTTTAATCATTAAAGATAACCTCAGCCTTCAACTCGAGTGGCCTTTAAAAGAGCTAAAAATAAAAAAAATATCTATCTGAATTTCATTTAAGATAATCTACTATATTGATATACTAGTTTGCTATAGTACTTTTTTTTTAGTTAGGACCGATTTATGTATCTCCCTCTCCTAACCTTACCTCATCCTTCTCTGACGAAGGATGGATATAAAAAGATGGCTCCTGAGTAATTTACTCATGAGTTCAAACAGTAAATGAGAATACACTTTAGTAACGTGTATATCTTAGACCTTGGACAATGATTTGGATAGAATGAACGGTGTGAGATGCCAATTCCTCCAAGGCATCTGATGTTTAAGAGGTCCGTGTTTGTTCTGTTCATTGCTTTTTAGCTTGAATACTGTTCGTTTTCTCCATATGTTTCATTCAATGAAAAGGTACTATTAATATAACGTATTTGCTTTTACAATTATAATAAAATCATGAAGTGAACAATTCACGGAAAGAATTGTAACTTATCACTTCCACTCCCACTGTGACATTTACATGTGTTTTCTTGTACACTATAAAAAAAAGGAATCAAATGATTTTTTTCTACATATCTATCACATTCATAAGGTAACATTTAAAGAGACGCGGATTCAGCTGAAAGTTATTCTTTTTTTTCATTTTTTATGTTTCTAAATACTTAACCTAGGTTATTTTTTTCTTAAATGATTTTTAAAAATATGAATTTCAGTTGTTCAGATACATGACAGATTTAGAGCTCAAAACCTTTGCTATGTAAACAAGGCCCGTGTCATATTTGTGTTTACATAGGTTAGATATACTAATATATGTCCGTTCAAAGAAGATATTTTAAACAAAGAAGTTAATTCTAAATATGATGACATATTCTAGATATTTGCTGAATCTCTTATTGTTGAAAATATAGTTTCTGTATATAAACAAAAACAAGGAACGAGCCTTGTTTATATTATGAAGAATTTCATATTCTGTACCTTTTTTGTAAATGAACGAATGATATTTAATTTTTTGCTTATCGTTTCAATTGCGTTAATTAGGAATTGTAAACATTAAAAATGTTTTTTAAAACAATCAGTTGAAACTTTGTTCATGTCCCTTTAACAAAAATCAAAATATTATTAATTAGTATACAAAATAGCTAGCATTAAAGTGACCATGCATGTTTATATCTTGATTATTATTCAATTAAAGGACCAACAAAATACCAATTGATTTCTCAAATGTCCCTTTATAACTATGTCAAGGTTAACCTTAAATCAAAATAAAAACAAACGATCAGATATCACCTCAAGCACTGCATATTTCTAAACAAATGCTTGGAAAGAAAGCAGTCACATAAATCATTGTCGGGCATTTAAAAAGTAAACAAAAGTAAAAGATCGAGAAAAATCATTATCGATAACTTAACAAAATGTTATGTAATTTGTTGTGTGATGAAGCCCTATAATTAATTAAAAGAAGTCAGCTCAGCTCAAATCGAAAGCAATCAATAGCGGTAAAGGGGAAGATTAAAGATTGAAACCTTGATATAACAATTGACACACTGCCCTGTTTTTCTTGTTTTTTTTTTCTTTTTTCTTTTTCCTTCTTTTTGTGTTTTTGTTTTGCAAGTCTTAAATAAAAATCAAAGAGTCTGTCAATTGACTTGTTGGCTTTCTTGCATGATGGACTCTATTAAGCATTGAATTTTTCTAAAATATTACAGAAATTCCCACTGTAATTCATACATTATTCAACTAATGAAAAAATTAACTAACCAATCAGGATTTTCGCTTCTTCAGTCGATGGCAGAAGTTGACTAGTTGGTTAGAACCATCGTGCCGATACCAAAGGTTATCTCTACTTTTAACATTGTTTATATGTGAAAAGACCTTTTTTACTTTACTTCATTGTTTTATACGATACAAAAACTCGTTGCATATTATGTTTAATATTTTGATATTTTGCTAAAAACGGACGGATATGGTAATCTAACAACAAAGTTTCATTTTAAACATTATTACTTAAACTTTTCAATAGTCAACTTTCCTTATTTTTGCAGTAATATACCTTCATCGCCTACATTCGATTCGAAATTCAAAAGCATGCTCTACGTATGATTAATTTCTAAAACAAGGTAAGTTACTGACAAACGCTTTTATGAAACAAAACTTTCAACAATGTCGTATAAATCCATCATTTCGCATGTTTCATAGTCGATACAATGGCCTTGCCAGTAAATACAATTTATCATAAACTGAATTGGTGACTGGCGTTCTTCATACTCATTGTTAGGAGATCATCTACACATTGAATAGTCGTCAATTTCTTTCGATATATTTCCTGATCATGACAAGGAGCACACGGCGGGTGTGATCGGTCGACAGGGGATGCTCACTCCTCCATGGCCCCTGATCCCATCTTTGGTATTTTAGAGATCCCTGTTTGCTCTGTTCCATTATATGCATTGTTTAATAGGCTTTTGAGCTTTAGTACTGTTTGTTCTCTCAATATATTTCATCATTAAGATGTTATACTATGCGAGATATCCATAGCAATAGTTTCAATATTAAAAGCATCTGTTTGCATTTAGTAAAATTAAAGTTTTTTGCTTAAATTGCAACTAATTGTTCTTCAATCGACAGACACTTTGGCAGGTATATAAAACTTCTCGCATAATTATCACAACTAGAAAATCTTCGTTTGCCTATTGGTAAAACATGCTTAAATTTTGTTCTGGTACATTGTACCTGGGTTCCAATGATTTCAATGAATCTAACGATTTTGCTCTCGGTAATTAGTTGGGGCCTTAGCGAGAGCGATTGCTTCTCTTGATAATATTATGTCGCATAGAAGATTTGTAATTTCCCCAATCATAACACAATGACACAATTCTTTGCTCTTCAATCCTATTATCGCGTGCTCTGATGAAGCCATGAAATAAAGAACACGTTAATTATTGCCGCTGTCGCCGGAAATGACATCACTAAGACCTTTTTGTATTGTCGACAAGAAATCATCCGCATGTGCCCACGTATTAAATAAATTATAATTCTTGCCTATTTAGGTCAGAAAGTATTAAATTTTATTAAAGAACGTATAATTTAAAATAGTTTTAAAAATTCCTACATTTTTTAATTATAGAAAAGCTTTCGAAATTAAGCCTTATATTAAACCATTGATGATCAGTTTTTATTTAGAGATGAGATCAGAAAATTCTGAGGTAAAATTAGCATCCTCCTTTCCTACATAAAAATACTGGCGAAGTTTATGTTTATGTTTTACCAGGGGAAACCCTATATATCATGCATTTCCAATGTTGAAAATATACACTCTTTTCATTATTTAAACATCAAAATGAAATATTTGGTAAAATCCAAATATTATTAAAGTTGCTGAAGTCAAAGTTACAGATATATCATGATTAATGAGATGTATTAAATGTGGGGTTAAAGCCATGAAGTTTTCTTCTTTATATAATGAAACATAACAATAGATATATAATTTATAACGAATTAATGGTTAAGGTAGTGGTAAAGTTTAACCTGGTGGATTTTCTTATTTTTTAAATGTAACATAGCAATAAATGTAATTTAAAAATTATATTAAGGTAATTACACCCTCCTATGATGTCATAGGTTTTTGCAAAAACTGTAATTAGTTTAAATTTATACCTAATAGAACAATATCTTTTAGAAGAATGCTTTACAAAAGATGTAATGATAAATATTGTTTAGTAAAAGAATTTTAAAAATGCATATTTTCTTTATTTAATCAATTATTCAAACTTTTAAAAATGTTGACAAGGGCAATAATATACAATTATAGACTCTTTTGGTGTTGAATATGGTTTGTTATTCACCAGAAAAATATCAATATTGATATATTTCTGGTGAATAACAAACCATATTGAACACCAAAAGAGTCCATAATTGTTGTATTATATAGTCCGAATTTAAATAAATAAGACATTGAAGGCTGCACGACGGCACCATTTTCATTCATGAACTTTCGTTATTGAAAATTTTAAAAGACACACAGATTACAGTTTGTAACCTCCGTGTTTTCCTTTTCGAGTTTAGTTATGTGTAAGACGTCCAAATGTTTTAAAATAATTCTGCGATAGGTTTGTCTAACATTTTTCAGATACATAGCTGGCTTCAGCCGTTGCAAGCATTGTTTACAACGTTGATTGTGACGTCACAATGCTGCCACACGTGCACTGACTCTCCGATGAATACGGCCTCAAATCCGGTGAATATGTTATAAACTGTTTGCGCTTGTATAGATTATATTAGGACTATGAATAAACTATATAATAACTCCTCCTAAGGTCTCTTCATTCAGGCATTTGCTATATTGTACTTCTAATATAAAATAGTTTCCCTGATACTCACAGTTCAAAAGTATTTTATAAGCTTAAGTAGTAAGTATTTAGGAACATTCAGCATCAGAATTATGCTTTTTAACCAGTTTTTAAATAACATGGTGACCAATACATTTTTTGCAATAATTGAAAAATGTAAAGAATATAAAAAGAAAATAAATGCAGTTTTTGTACTTTGAACCATTAAAATTGTGAGGGTGGAAACACCTTAAACTTATCTAAATATTTTAGGTTTAAGCCCAGGGGCTTTATTGCTTATATAATTTAACATAGCTATAAATATAATAATTTATAACTAAGCAAAATATTTTCAGGTTTAAGCCCGAGGGTTTACTTGCTTAAACAATTTATCATAGTTATATTGATTCATTGTATATTGTTTTAATGTCCCTTTCGTTAATTTTTCGTACCAGCACCTAGAGTAACACAGGGCCTCGGTTTTTACGGTCTCATCCGAAGAACCGGTTTCTACTCTACGTCCTACAGTAGGATTCAAACCAGCAACGTAAGGATCCATTCCTTATTTCGCGACTCTAGAGCAGACGCTCTTCGCCTAGCCACTGCACCACGCGTATGACTAACATACAATGTAGCTATAGCTATGATTATCTACATAGTTATAGATATAGGCTTCATTTATAAAGAAATAAATATTGCTAGGTTTAAAGTTCATTACCCTCTGCACACGCATATAAAATGTTGCTTGAACCTCAATGATTTTCTACACAAATGTATTTTATAAGCAAAATACAAACAATTATAGCATAGCCTACGGGGCAAATCGGATAAAAAAGACACTTCAACTTGCCAAATCTTTAAAGGAATAATAGACATTAATGTCATTAAGAGTTATCTCTCTTATCAGAGTATCGATGAACCTTAAGCTGTTGTGTATTCTTACTTGGTCTCCTGATTATGTTAAGTTCTGAATCACTGTGACAATGGAGCTGCAGTCGTAAGTATTCAGAAATGGCCTCGGTACTTCCCGGTACGGCCTCTGTCGTCAGACTAGAAGCATCCATAGCTTAACGGTATCCTTTATCTATAGAAGTGAACACTTTGTCCTATTCCTTTTCTAAATAACTTCAAGAATGCCATTTTTTTAATGTTCACAGCAAGACGTTGCTTCCCTTTCCTAACACTGGTAATGGAAAAGAAAAAATGACAATGTTCGCTCGGTCAGCGAAGTTCAACAATAATTATTATATGTCAATATCGTATAATTCATGAATTCCATTATCAAGATGTTCCATTCACTGTTTCCGAATATTTTCTTTTACTTTGAAGATTTCTGTTCCTTGGTCTGTCTTATCCACACGGTGAATATTGGGGTTCGCGTTTTAATCCTCAAAGCATAGAAATTACATTTATGCTTCTTTTATGTCATACGATCAAATTTTAACATAATAATAAGAAAACCAATGAAGTTTCTTCGAGGTTGTTTCTTTTAACATAAGAAGTCCGTTTGTATATAACAGCTAGTTAGTATTCTTCACACTGAAGTCCCCGGCGCTCTGGATCCCTCGATCTTTCTCTCTTGATCAATGATGTCATCTAAAAAATTACAAGAGAATATTTAGTTCCTTGAAGAGATGAATCTGACAAATGTTTCTCTTTGGTCCATCCGTCATTCCAAAGAGCAGGATGACAGAACCCTGTTAACGTTATGCTAAGAGATACCGGACGTTGACATGTTCCTAGGTCTTATTATTGGAGGCATTATATAAGTAAATCGGGAACACCAAAACAGATTGAATCTTAATCGTCCAATCTTCTAGTCACCAAGTACAACGTTCTTGGCTTTTTGCTTTGTTGACAATCAATTTGTTTCATATATTGATTCTTGGGAGTATAAGTAACAAATCATCTCTGTTATAATCTAAGACTGACTTTGAGTTTTTTTTATGATTTATAAAACTTAACCCACAAAAGATTATAACTTCATAAATTTACACATTTGAATTTCAAATGTAAGGGAAAAAAATGAAATTCGAGCACAGTTGTAAACCTTTTCCAAATCCAAATTTTGAAGTTTAACTGATGTTAAAAAGATATTTCTTAAATTTAATCCTTGACGTTATAAGCTTTTAAACATCTTAACAAGTAGCTACAATTATTATTCATTTTAATAAATGGTCCCATCTTTTTGATTACTAATATGGATCATAACCAATATATTGCTAAAATGGTCAAAATAAGAACTAAATAATTCCGACATGCCAACCGAAAGGAGGTTGTTGATATCACTGTAATGTCAATGAAGAAAGATTAAGATAATGGAAAGTGCCCGGTATAAAATAAATCTGAAAACAATACAAATCTATGAAAAGTGTATAAACAGGGACAACTGGAAATTAAAGATACGGGATCAGGTCCCTTAGAGCATCCCCTGTCGATATTAATTTCACGTTTATAAACATGTCAACACCTACCATTGATGCCATGAACGTCAAGTTGCTGACACCCGAAATAATTTTCAAAGGTAAAATGTCACTTGTAAAAAATAAGTTGAATAAAAACCACATCCTTTACATCTCGGATGTAAACTAATAGGTTATATTATTGGTGGTTATGATCCATATTAGTAATCAAAAAGATGGGACCATTTATTGAAATGAATAATGTCTGTAGCTACCTATATCACTAGGTCGCATCAGCTGCTGGGGTTTTGTAGTTTGTACAGATTTTGACAAAGGAATGTTTCATCTACCTGATCAATATATGAGACTGAGAGCGGATGTGTCTGGTCAACAGGGGTTACTTCCTCGATCTAGGCACCGGATCCCACCACTGGGATTTTCATAGATCCATGTTGTATGACCACCTTGTATTGTTTTAAATCATATTTAATATATTACTGCTATTATCTTCAAATTTTTCAAATCATTTTCACCGATAGACGTTCATAGTAAGGAATAAAATGTAATTAGTTTACCAGCTAAAAAGCTTTTATGGAAATAGATCCAATATTGATTGATTGATATTGTATATTGTTTAATGCCCCTCTTAAGAATTTTTCGCTTACATGGAGACGTACGCCACCACTTGCCGGTGGAAAGCTGCAAATTTTGTCCTATACTCGGCACACAAAATCATTAAGCAGAACGGAGTCTATGGAATATACTATAATAATTAAATCCGTATAAAGTTCTTTACAGTTTCTCAGAATGTGAAATAATTCTACTCACCAATACATGTTTACAGGAAAGTTACTCTATGCATATAATAGTAATTATCCCTCACATTCTACATTCTGATGAATTAAGAAAAAAAGAACAGGGAAAAACATGGCTGATCTTGACCAGAATAGAACTGGCCAATCCTCACCAAACAATCCTTAACAGATTTAAAATTAGGAGAGCGTTGTTCCTCTATAAGTGTGTGAGGCTTAAGGAGCGATAGAAGAAAATAATCAATGTAAAAACTGCAGGTTTTGATGAACATAGAAAGAAAATGAAATGAAGCAAAGTGTAATGAGATTTGTAAAATTGAAATCGCGGCTAACCGATTTGTAAGAGGATTTCAGTACCAGTCTAAACCCTTTATATACTTAGAGAGGTGGGAAATTTAGAGTGGACGCACAACATAATTAAATGAAAGCTTTTACTTTAAATCTACTTGATGCGTTATACAACTTGAAATTAAAATAAGTTATTAATATCAGATAATTACTACTGACTCCATTATAAGAGTACATTCGTCTAAAATATATTAACTTTTATATACTTTTCCAGGGGATTTCTTTGCAATTTAACGACTATAAGCTAAACGAAAACTATTGAAGGATTAATAATAGCAGTTATTTACATTAAGATCAGACGACACGTTCCTAAAATTAATTTTTTGTATTCCTAAAATTGGTATTATATAATAAATTGTTCATATTTGACATTTTCTTCTGATTTCTACATTGTTTTCAAATTGTTTTTAAATATTAGTACACAAAAATTGTGATATTGGACCATTCATCATATTACCCATAAGGGTTTTATAAGAAATATGACCCTGTGGTATCTTGTCCAAATGCCTGGTAACTGGTCAGGTGCACTATTTTAAGAAGAAACTTGTTTTAAGTATAAATTATCTATTTTTGAGAAACGTGTCGTATGACCTTAATGAATGAAAACGTTTCTTCCTTTTAAATATAGTTTTGATATTTGCCTTGTTAGCAAGAAAAATCTTTAGATATTTTATGTGGCTCTACAAGGCTTTGTATCAAGTTTTAGCAAGCAGAATTTTGACAAACGTTTATTACAGCTCAAAATAATGAATTAATTTTGTGGTTCCACAATGTTATATGTTAAGAATTAAAGTTTTGAAAAACAAAACTTTTAATCGTTATTAGCGGATCTTTTTTGTATTTATATGAAGCAGAATTTGAGCAAAATCTTATGCGTGAAAAGAAGAAAACATTCACTGTGGCCTTCAACATTTAGATATATCTACGACCTATTGTCAATTAACAATAGTTATTTCCATTCCTACGTCGATACGATATATCCTAGTGAGTTTGAGATAAAAGATACAGCAGAGTCTGACACATCTGTATCATACTTGTGTATGTTACTTGAAAAAGACGTTAATGGTAATCCTATAATCAAGCTATATGATAAACGTCATGACTTTACCTTTTCTATCGTCAACTTCCCTTACTTATGCAGGAATATACCTTCATCACCTGCTTATGGCGTTTATATATCTCAGTTGATTTGATACGCAAGAACATGCTCCACGTATGAACATTTTCTAAAACGAAGTAAATTATTGACAAACAAGTTGATGATACAAGAATATCAACAGTCTTGTTTAAACTTATCATTTCTTAAGTTCTTTGGTCGATACAATGACCTTGTCAGCAAATAAAATTTATCACAGAGTCAAATGCTGACTGCGATTTTCATACTAATTGTTAGTCTATTATTTATACACTGAATTGACCACGGATTTTTCCGATATTTACCGAACATGACAAGGAGAACACGGCGGACATGACTGGTCAGCAGGGGATGCTCACTCCTCGATGGCACTTGATCCCACCTCTTATGTTTTAGAGGTCCGTGTTTGCTCTGCTCCTATTTTGTATTGTTTTATGGCCTTTGATATTAAATATTGTTCGTTATCTCCATATCCTTCACATAAAAATTTCATGGTATTGAGGCATGTTCAATTATAAAATGAATACAATTATTCAAAGTATACTAGAATATTGTCATGTATTTTCCTACCTGTATGTTTAAAACAGATGCATTTGTAAACTGTGTAACTATAATATTTCATGTACATTTTAACAATACCTTTAATTTTTAACTCATAATACAAGGGTGTTAATCAGAACTCTTGCTAATTGATACCAAGCTTCAATCAATTCTAAACAGCAATGGCGTGTCAAACCAGAAAATTGTATGAAGAACATCCATTCTATTTACTGACTATTAGCTTTTAATTTCCTGAAATGAAAGTCACCATTCACAACAGACCGACTCGTGAAGTGAACTAAGGATGGGGTCTTTTTATTGTCACGCGTTTCAGCAGCATCAACTCTAGATTGATCATCACATTGACCAGGCAGCCCGCCGTGTAACTATTCGCTAGATCACTCTGGTAAAAGCTAGAATTATAGAAAAGCCTAAGTTACCTCTGTCTTAGAAATCAAATTCAAAAGATGGGAAATGAGAATAGTGGTGTGTACTGCATACTAAATATTAAGGTTTGACTTATAATAGAAAAGTATTTGTATAGATATTCCCACTGGGATTACAAATATAACATCATTTAACATGAAAATTATTTTTAGGAAATACAATTTATTCTTAACTGACATTAAACAATGCTGTTCTGCTTTTAAAGGAATATGGTCTATCATAGAAATATGCATTCTCCTATTTTGTTTTTATATTGATTATTTTATTTATTAAATTATTTATATATTAATTTATATATTTAATTGTATGACAAAGAGGGCCATCTTTAATATTACAAAGAAAACTATATTTAGCGAAAAGTGAAATCTACACTTTTCCTTAGAACTATCCAAGATATCACTGAGAAGCCCAATGAAAAAACAAATCTTTTATAATCTTTTTCTTATGTTTTGAGGGTTAGTCTTTGTACTCAATGCGAAGAAAAAAAAACAGTTGAATTTATAAAGAATGATACAAAATACAAAGCTGTTATATATATGAGGAATTCAGTTATAGTCAAATGTATAGAAAGAAAAACTGAGAACGTTTTAATAAAGACACTTCAAGTCACAAGACGCCATCTATAATTCAAGTCTAATGACATTGTCATCGTAGTCTCCTAAACGTTTTACTTAGTATGGCAGATTTATCCCTCTAGAATTTGTTTAAAGCTTCTCAGCAAATAAGATGGGATCAGAAGTCAATATTTACATTAATGTATTTATGTAATTTTTATACCAAAGTATAGAAAATAACTGTTTTAAAATAAAACCGTAATGAGCGATCCAAATCTCTGACGAATTACGCAGTATTTTATGTCAGACAAACCGACCGGAGTACAATCCCTTTATAGACAAGTGTTCATTGAAACAA